AGATTAATTAAAAAAATAACAAAATCAAATGTTTAAATAGGATTCCCAACGTAGGATAAAGTATTGAAATCCTTTAAGTCTCATGACACAGTTCTCAACACAAAGCGAGGAGCAAACGTTCATTGAAAGTTGAATAAAATATAATAAAAAAAATTGTAAATTGTAAAAAATCAAGTTTTGAATATTTTCATTTTATTACCTTTTTCACTAATATTGATTTACTGTTTGATTGTTTTTCAATTTTGTTATAATCACACAATTTATTAAAAGTAACATTAATATTACTTATATTAGAAATATTAATTATTTAGTGTGTATTAGTAAACTAGATAACATTCATTATAATGCCAGGCGCATACACAAAATATATTAAATGAAAATTATATACAATAATCCCACGCATTGTGCTGCTTTGATCAGTGTGGATTTACTATATAGTACAAGTTCAATGCAAACTAAGTTTTATTTGAGAAAACTAAAAATAAATTCTAAAAAATTAGTACACAAAATATTTGTTTCTTTTTTTTCCTCTATGCAGTCAACTCTCTTTTTGTACTGTTTATTTTTATGCTAGGTATTCGAGTATATTCCTCAAATGACAAGAAGTCTCCATATTATGCTTAGTGTTGAGCATTCTAATATAGTTAAGTAATGTACGGTGTTGGTACTACTTATTATCATTTTATAAGGACATTAATATTGTATTTACTTAGAAATGATTGTATAATAGGATGTCTCAGTAAAACCGCCGAATTTAAACTTGGCACGTTTTTTTTACTACAGTTCATTATAAGACCCACCTTTTTTAGATAGAAAAATTGACTCAAATTTTTTGGTGCGTCTTATGGTCCGAAGGTAACATTAAAATATTTTTTCAATAAATCGTCTCTAAATATGAAAATAAAACAAAAAAGACTTTCTTATAATTTGAGGTATAAACGAAATGTGATCAATTATGCAAAACAATATGGAAACTTTTCAAACTTTTTCAAATAAATTTATATAGAAATTATGCAACACAAATTGCAAAATCAAAATTTATCAATTTTCTAACTAACCCATGTATATTTCATTAAGATGTTGTTGATTCAATTTTTTTTTGTACACATTAACTTTCAATCTTTAGTAAAAAAAAATATATAGTAAATTTCTTAAACTTTTCATTAACTATTTGTTTCAATATACTTTATGTATATAATTTATTATCTTAGAGATTATTTAAAGAAAAATATAGAAAATTTTCATACAATCCTCGCAATGTTATAATTGATTGAATTTGCAGCCATAAATATGATTTTTTTAGTGATATTTACAAAGGCTACATTTCTATTGAATTTCTTAAACACTAAATAGATTAGATTTTATTATATGCTTTCTTATAATCGTCATTAATTTGAACTACTAAATTGAATTTGAACTACTGAAGATACCATATTGGTTCACCACCTACACAAAAAATGGTTCGAACGGAGAAAAGAAGAGGAACAATTAAAACTGCTAAGTAAAGTCAAGAAAACATTCTGTTTGCACTTAGAAAAATGGACTCAAATGTTGGGTGCGTCTTATGGTCCACAGGGAACATTAAAATATTTTTGTCTATAAATCGTTGTCCGGTGCGAATTACAGTCCGAAAAATTCTTACTGAGACACTTTATATATTTTTATAAAAAAATAATTTTATTTGTCATTTATATACAACTAATTCAATGTGCAGCTTTATTTATCATTTTTACAATACGTTTCCTTCTATATAATGCATTCAATTAAATTGCATTTATAAAATGCTAAGCTCAGTTGGCATGAAATCTTTTAATAGGCCATTTGGCATGGATGTACATGAGGCAATCCAAAAGCGATTAAGATAATAACTACAGTAAATTGGTCTCAAATTAGATACTCCAATTTATTTACAACTGAATTACTTCAAATATTACAAACAATAACTACCTTTATATTTGTACACGTTCTGTATTTTTCTTAATTATTAAAATATGCAAAAGGTTTATAAAAACAAGTCTTTGTATATTTTTTAAGGCAGCTTCCAATATATTCTATTAAAGGAATAACGTATTTTTATCCTGCTTTACACACAATGAACGTTTTTAATGTTTTGGTATTTGTCTAGACTGGGAGTTTGTGTACAAAAGTTTTTTTTTATATATATATATACTCTAAATCTTAAGAGAGAATAAATATTTACCTTGTTACACATGATATATAAATATATCGATTATATTTTTTTTTACTAATGTATGTAGAAGAGACACATACTTGTGGAATGTTTACTAGATTTATTATTATCACGTAAAATAGTTTGTTCATTACTAAATTATAGAAAAAATAAAATTTAAAAATCAAAATATGTAAATGTTCATTTTAATTTATATTTTTCTATTGGTTGATTCTTATTTTAACTTTGGTAGTTTATTTGTATTATTTTCATTTAATTTTACGTAATTGAAGTATTCGATTATTTTCGATATATATAATACCGCAACGTCGACGATAAAAAAGATAATTGCTCAATTTTAAATTGTATGCACATTTGTCATGTTCAATGTGCATACAATTTACTTACATTTTATTAGAAATAACTTCTTTATATACAGTAGAACCTGTATTTGTGCGGTCTTTGTCTTCTTTTCAGTTAATCGATTTTGAACCAATACATCACAAGAAGATTCGCGTTTTCAATTATCACGAGTCGCAGTGAAATATGTATGTGCTTTTTGAAAATTTCTCCATATGTACAATGAGAAATTAAATGCTTTTAAAATGTTTCCATGTGTAATTTAATTATTTATTTTGTTTGGATACACTTTCCCATGCATTTCGTAAATCTTTGACGTGCGATTTGTTTTAAGTGGTCCCTATTCAGCGCATAAAAATAGTTTCTGTAATATATTATATAAAGTTATTTGTTATATGTAAAAATTTATGAAAATTTCTAATATTTTTTGTGCAATTTTTTAAGCGGTAAATATGAGTTCTTTCAAATTACTTAATTTTAACATTAAAGGATGTCCCAACATTAACTGATATTTTAATTTTTTAATAAAATAAATTTTATATTTTTTTTAGGTTATACATCTAACAAATGACGGCAAATTTATAATGTGTGTTCTTTTTGAGATACCCTTTATTAAGCTAATAAATGGGATTAAATTTAATTTAATAGAGTAAATATATTTATTCTTAAATTTTGTAAAGAATATATCAATGTTAATGTATTTAATTGTATAATATTTTAATTGATTATTTCATAGTTACGGATCTCTATCTATCGAACTATCATGGCAGTGGAAACTACTTATGTTAGGCAACTCAATTAAGAGTATTCCTTGTAATCAACGAAGCAGACGAAGAAGTGTCAAGTATCCGCTCCTAGATTCTCAAAGCTCATGCCTTCTTAAGTACCAATTACTCGCACGATATCGAAATATACTTGAAATCTAGATTTCTAATGTATGGTACAAAGTTTCTTATATAGTTAATCAATATGACATTCTGAAACTTCTGATAAATTATTATTAACAGAAAATGAAATAAAATTGAAAACATATAAAAGTAAAGAAAAAATTACAATATATTTTTTAAAGAAATTGAATTGAATAATATAATATAATATAGAGTAATTTATAATTAATATTCAAATATTTTATTTAATTAAAAATAGCATTTAACAGAGCTGAGTTTAAGTTTTATAAAGAAAAGTAATATAGATACACTTTTATAGGCACACATTTCCGTTCAAAGAAAAAAATATAAATATGTAGAGTATATTTCGACTTTATAACGATTTGGATGCTTCTTATAAAGTCGAGCTATGAATGCAGTTTTTTTTTCAGCGAACGAGAATTTCAAATTAAAATGAACTCCCGGAAATAACGCTCTACTATGCTATGTGCTGCCCTATTTTATAATATTCATTTTGAAGTGCATACAATTGAAATTTCATGAAAGTAGATTTATTAGGTTATTACAAACTTAATGTTGCATTGCAAATAAATCGATTTTCTATCTTTATTTAACTCTTGAACTACGACTGTCGATGAAACGTGAGTTACGGCTGTCATCAACAAGTGATTTAATTAATTATGCAGAGATACAGTTGTTGCCTATTGACCATTCTATATATTGTTATCTCGGAACTTAATTATGATTACAGAATGCAGATATATAATTATTTATCATCTTTTACGTTATTTTATCGCATTGAAAACTATTATTGGAAATATAGTGAGACAAATTTTACAAAAACATGGAACTCTGCATCTAAATCGGGAAGACAAAATATGGAAACCATTTATCATAGATTTAATGGAAAGACATTTACCAGTTAATCTTTCATCTACTGGAAGTAGACAAAAAAGACAAATAATTTGCCATGTATGTTCAAATACTGTTCGAAGTAAAAAAAAAAAGAAAATATGTTACAACTTGGTCTTCCCAGTATAAAATAGAACTTTAATTAATATAATATAATTAATTGCACAAGAATATTTTTTTTTAAACCTGAAATAAAAATGTTCAAATTATTCATAATTCCGATTTAGTTTTTTATTTTTCAATTTGCCTTAACATATGATTTTGATCATAATATTGTGTTATTAATACAGAGTTTTGAAATGTAGTTCACAATATAAAAAAAAAACATCAATACAACAATAGAGAAACCATCTTTGAAATTTGTATAAAAATGTCTAACTTCTTTTAGAAAATCATTTGATTTCCATGATTGTATTCTTTCAAAATAATTAGTTCATGTTTTAACACTAGAAGTACAAATCCATTATCAAATCGCACTGACTCAATTTGTTGTGAAGTTTTGTGAACAAGATAAAGCAAAAGTTGCATTAATGTGAACACCTCCATGTAATGTTTTATTTTATTATTAATGGAGTGCAAATTAATATAAAATAATGTAAAGCGTTTAATTTGCAAATATTGTAATGACCTGAAACTGCCATATAATGGTATACATTAAATAGTAAATAAAGACTTTGTATATTTTGGTTGCAGGTTATTGGCCATTCGGTGTGATTTGGTGCAACGTGTATGTGACGTGCGATGTGTTGGCGTGTTCGGCGTCAATAATGCACATGTGTTTCATTAGCTTGGATAGATATCTGGGGATACGAAATCCATTAAAGACCAGACACAGCTTCACGACGCGAACGGTTGTTCAAAGGATAGCTCTAGTCTGGCTGTTATCCATGATAGTCTCTAGCTCCATCACAGTATTAGGTGAGTAGAAGTAGAAAACCGCATAGCCTAATCCAAGCACACACGTTTACTCGCACATGCCAACACTACCACTAGACGCTATTCTCCAGAGAGTTTACAGATTTCACTAACTGTGATCTCTCATCCTTTTCTCTCTTTCACACTCATGCAGACTTACATATATGAAGACGGTCATCTCTCTATGGAAAACTCAGGCATCCTCGATCTCTTTTAGGTATTATAAATCATGAGAACATAATGCCGAAGCCAAATACGTGCGTGATAAACAATCGCGCCTTCTTCGTGTTCGGGTCCCTGGTGGCTTTCTATATTCCGATGGTGATAATGGTGCTTACCTATGGCCTGACTGTGCAGCTGCTCCGGAAAAAGGCCCGGTTCGCCGCCGAGCATCCTGAGGCTGATCAATTCCGGAGGCTCGGGGGGCGGTTTGTTGCCAAACAAGATAGATCGACCCCGGCCACCATTGCCACACACCACACCATGTGGCGAACGGTCGGCGGAAGCGGAGAAAGGTTGGTTCTTGTTGCTATAACTTGCTAATCAAATCAAAACCCAATAAACACGCGCGTCGAGAACACGAAAAAGAAGTATATTCCAGAACACGCACACTTTTCTTATAATCAATTCAGCATCTCTTGCTGACAATCTATCTCTAATTTTTTTTTCTCCGACAAATCTATCATTATTATTTATTTATTATATAATTAAATTTATTCTTATCATAATTTAACTTTTAAAAAATCTAACATATTTTTACTGAAAATAATAAAATATGTAAAATACTGATTCTATGGAAATTTCGTTAAATAAAAAGTTGTTTGATTTGATTCATATACATTTTTTTCCAATGATGGTATTATGTATTTCTAATGTTAACCTATCATATTAACTAAATTGAAATATACTAAAATTGAATTTCAAATGAGTTAGAGGAGTTTTGTATAAAAAAATTCAATTATTTTAATGATCCTCATTTTTTTTTATTTAAAGTTCAAATGGATTTTATGCCTTAATTTACGAAATATTTCACAAATTAAAAAAAAAATATTATTACATTAGTACTATGTATTAATGTAATTATATGAATATCAGAATCATTTTTAGTTCACAAAATGTCATTTACAAGTAAACTTTTTAATTCATGTTTTACAGCAATCTGTCTTAAGATGACAATAAACTGAAGTGGTGGCTTTAAATGAATTTGAATTGAAGAATTGTGGGTATATATGAATAATGATATGAAATAATATGGATATATTGAAAATGCATGAATGAATAATTTAAATATTAAATATCTAAAACTCAATTGATTAGAATCAATATTCAAATAAATTATAACCGATTTCCATAATGAAGAGACAAGTTTTTTCAATTAGTGATAAATGGAATGTTACACAAAACAAAATGTTATTGATATTATATTAATTTCCAATGAAACAAATGTGCTTTTCTCATTCAATTATATTGCGTGTAGCCCCTCGGCATTTAGATAAATAATAATGGAGATTTATTATTACTTTTTTTTGTTCTGGCTAAATGAGCGAAAAGGTCCCATATAGGCCACCCCATAACAGCAACAATCTCCTATGTGCTATATTTTGCATATGAATAAAGTTTATTTTAATTGAAAAAAAATGTCAAAAATTTTGTTTGATGAAAAAAAAAAAGAAAAGTATGCAGTTCCGAAAATCAAAATTTTCAACCACACTTCGTTTATATTTACGTCCTTTCGAGAAAGAATGGAAATAAACTAATGCATCTGCATTCAAATCCCTTGGATTTGGAACGTTTTCAGAAGCAGATCTATATTCAACATTAGAAAGAAACGAGGTTGCAGCGAAATTCGAATGGCTCGATCAAACACAAGGCTCTATTAGTATTTCACTGTTATTTTACTTGTTTCTTGTTAAGGTTGAACGATAAAAGATGCAGCAGCTATTGTGATGGAATTCCCGTGTAGTTTCGGGATGGGTTTCTAAACTCCCAGAGAGATCAATCGATCTGTTCAGAAAGAAGAATACTGAGTAGAGGATGAATATTGCATAGTGTCGAAGGAGAAAAAAAATCAATTTGAATGTTGCAGGTCGAACATGAGGATAAGTAACTCGCATCCTCAGCTGGCGTATACGAATGGGGGCGGCGGGGGCGCCTCTGTTTCTTCTTCGGGGAGTGGCGGTGGCGGCGCGGGCGTCAGTGGCGGTCACAGGGACCAGGGAACGCAAACACCGGAGAACATCGCAAGGGAGACGAGAAATTTTAATTTGCGCTCACTCAAATTGCAATTAAATAGTGTGCCATCCAATTTGAATTTCAGGTAAGTCGTGTCTGCAGGCTGCAGACCTTTAACAACGATGATTATTCGATATGCCAAAAATAACGTTAGCCAACATCCGGATTCGATTTGGCGTAGCTAATTTAAAAATTATTTTATATTTCCGCCTGCTCGGAAGATTTCATTCCCCTATTTAATGACTCTGAAAGCCAGACTACCCAGAGATTGCTTATATATGGAGAAACATTCTCTAGGTAATTGCGGTCATAACATCCGTGCACATCTGGAAACAAATCCGCTAGTTTACTCAACCCTTCTCATTTCAAGAGTTTCCACTTTATTTCATAGAAATAATACTTGACATAACTTTACACGAACGTATATTATTATAACACATACTAAATAGAAATGCCTACTATTCACTGCAAATATGAAAAATTACGATGAGTTTCATATTTAAGAAACAATATTACATATTACAATAACTTAATAATAGAGGGAAATATTTTCGATATTTGTTTCCATTAAAAATACAGCAGTATTCAAAAAAAAAAGTTAAATTAGTGATGAAAATTATAAATTTTAAATAAATTGTAAGTAAATTTATTGTACATATAAAAATATATACAATCATTGATACATATTTCTTATTGTACTAGTAAGTAGTAGATTTTTGTAAAAAATAACATATACTAGTGCACTATATTATTGCACAAATACATTTTTGAAAGAATAATTAATATTATTAATTTCTACAAATTTCAAAACATGTTTATATTAGTGCATCAATATGCATCAAGTCAAGTAAAAGTAGTAAAATGTTGATTTCATCAAGTATAATAGTATTATTTGATATTCATAATGGTGACAGCAACGTATGAAACTTTGAGCGAAGATGAGATACAGGAAAGGCATAAAACTATAAAGTACCCTATTCTATATTTTATTACTAAAACACAACATGATATAAAACATAGTCTGTGGATATTGGGATGAGCAACACTTTCTTATGTCTTGCTCATCCCAATATCCATAAAGTCCTCATTAAATTGTACTAATACTATATTTATATTTCCAGCACAGTGTATATATTTTATTGCATATATATTTATTTGTATTTTTTTCTAAGAAGACATTACATATATTTGTTAGAGATTTCAATATCTTCTTAATAGATGATGACTTCATAAAGTCAATGTTCATGCTTCTTTATTTTATTTTATTTTATTTTATATTTTTATGTCTGCTTGATGTTGTAATCATATAAAAACAAAATTCATCTGTTAATTGATTATTTCTTGTATAATTTTAAATAACACATTAGTTAATAAATTGAATTTCTTCGTACTATGTTTGAATACTTAAAAAAAAATAAAACACATAAACTTCTTCAATAAATTAAATCACACGTGATCATGCATTTGAGTAGTATTTAACTTTATTTAACTAGACAGTTTATGATATACAAAAATATGTAACACTAATTTAATATTTCAATTCTAAAAATAATAAATCTGTAATAGATAATAATTAAGTAGTGACATGTACGTCTTTTACTTAAATATTATGATTGACAATATTGGATTTATTTTATCAAAATTGAAAATGTATTTAAAAACAATTTTCTTTTCCTGTTGTCGATAAGTTGAGAAAATTCCTCGCTGTTCTCTTGTAATCCCGAGATCGTGACATTAACTCACCTGCTGGAATTCAGAAAGTATTGCCTACGATCAATCTCGTCTCTTCAGGAACTTCCCTGGGATAACACTGGGAATTATTTTCTTAAGGAAACTATAAGTTCCGGAAAGCATTCGCAATAGAAAATAGAGGAGGAAATAGAAATATAGTGGCAGAAAAACGGGACGGCGAATTTATTACGGCCATTACTGCCGTCGCCCTCTGAGCACATTTGTAAATTATTAATTTTGTTTAGGATATATGGACTAATTATAGTTTAAGCATTATATGAGTTTTTGTAAGATATTTGTATTACAAAGTATTATTACCAATTTTTTATAATTATTTTATGAAATTTTTTAAACAACTTTAAGAAAAACAATACATAAGAGTATAACCGAAAAATGCAATTTTATATTTACAATAGCATGAATTCAAATGTTTGTAGAAAATTTTCATTTGTTCAAAATAAGTGTAAACGAAGTAAAAACAATTATTCTTACTTAAAGTATAGATAAATAATTCAGTAATACTAATAAACTAATTAAAGTTGAGTTGCAATAATAACAGTTAATTAAATTTAATGCAGAAACATACAAAATGTGTAATATTCCCTTAAAGAAGTTTTGCAAAAGTTTCAATTAATTTCAGATTGAAACAGAAAACGTATTTGTACGAAGTAGTCGTCCTAGTTATGTATTTTCTTTTTGGCTTCTTTATAGAGCTGCATTGAAAGAGAAACCATATTTCCCCTCGAATTTGTTGCGAATATCTTCATTTTGTTATTAATGCTCGACGTCGTATTAGGGCGCCCTTTCATTATAGAGGCGCAAAGATGGGAAAAGGGAGCACTGAATAAAAGTGATTTTATAAATCGAAATTGAAATTTAGGGTGTACAAGGTTAAAAGAGGCGCAAATTTATGTATAACTTTGCACCGCCCCTCGACGTCTTCGCATCATAATATAAGGAGCTCATGATTAACTTGTAATTAAATTCGGTCGCGTAATTGCTCCGTAATTACTTATTTCATAACATATCATATTCCAAAGGCCCCTATAAAATTACTTAAGCGATGCATTGTTTACTAGAACTAAACGTATACCGTGCAATACTATCGTCGTTACAGGAATCTCCGTTACTTTACATACACTTTCTACGTATTCTGACATCGCATTGAAATCAGTCTTCTGTTATATAATGTAATTGCCAATATCGCAGACTCCATACATTTTCATTAAATCATTAATAATAATGTGTAGGACATCAAATAATACTTAAATATATATTTTGGAAAGGAGGGACTTTTCCAAAATAAGTGTTCAATTTCATACTTGATTTAAATAAATAACTATTGATGCATTTTATTTCATTATTTGAATAACCATTAAAAAAACTAAAATCCGACACTTATTTTGGAACGGAGGGAGTCAAATATGTTTTTAATAATATTTTTTTATGTCGTATAATTTGATTCACGATCTGTTCATCAATGTGAACATTGAGTAAATTTAAGATCGCGGTTGACATTAAATGGATAATCTATCCCGATTTGATTTTTTCATTTGTTGATTGGCTGTCGTCTTGTAGTTTAACTTCAATAGTATATTGATGCTCTGCGATTCCACCATTTCTTTGACTCTGAATCTGCTGCTATCCTTAACACTGTCATTGGCTGAAGGTCCATATGGTGAACCTCATTTATTTGAGTATCCATCTGTGATGAACGCAATCACCGGTCAAGAAATCGTGGGTAGGGCGACTTAACCATTCGTCTATTTGTCGCCTTATTAGAAACATATAAATAAGAAAAACTTATTATACATTTATATATTTGATATTCATCAAATTTTATAAAATGAATCTAATATAAACATTTTTTTTATATTTGATTATTTTTAAACACAAATATTTATCCATTATTATTTTTGATAGATTTAAGCTGCATTGCAAAATAGATAGATCTTCTTTAAAAATATATGGAAATATTCTTTATCATTTTCATCAAGTTCATGAAAACCAATTGTAATTGGTGTGCTTTTACAGACTTTTATACTAAGAAATTTGAAATTTTCATAAATTCTTACATATAATAAATAACTTTGTATAATACATTACAGAAATAAAATAAATATTTAAATTACACATGGAAACATTTTAAAAACATTTAATTTCTAATTGTAAATATGGAGAAATTTTCAAAATACACATATATAATTCACTGCTTCTCGTGTTAATCCAAAACGCGCATCTTCTTGTGATGAATTTGTTTAAAATTTACTAACAGGATCGTTTGAGCAGGTATTACAATGGTGCCAACGTCGTTGAAATTGGTTTGATTTCATATACCGCAAAAAATAAATCGAACAAAAATAAAATCGCATAAAAAAGAACCGCACAAAAACAGGTTTTACTGTATTTGCAAATTTTTGTTTTAAGTAAATATTATTTTATTTATACAAAATAAAGTAGATAATAAATAATTGGAATTGAATGCAATAAGATAGGACGATTCTTTAAATTATGGTAATCCAGAGGGTCGTGTAATAGGCTTTTCCTACTTCAATGTATACATCAATAATGACATGTGCATACTTTACGAGGGTACATATATTTAGGAGAAAATTGGAAAACCTCAGTGGTTCATCTTTTATATCACCTAAAACCTAATAAAAAAATAATTACCAAACAATGGCATTAAGGAAAATAAACTTTATGTTGCACAACTACATTTACAAGAACAAAATAATGCAAAAGCAAAATTCCTGTATGAAATATTTCGTCTATGATGTGATATAGTTACTTAGAAAATACAGTCATAACTCAGTTACCTCGAATGATGAAGTTTCGATATAAGGAAGTGCGCAATATTAAGCATCATTTAACATAAAATTATTCCAATTTATGGGTAAAATCCAACAATCATCGGACAAAATATAGCTAGAATTTGTACTAGAAGAAAATAATATCCACGAAATTATAAAGTTATCTAGGTGGCTCAATAAATGTAATTTGAAAATGTCAATGAAGATAATGTTATAAATTTATTGACGTCATAAGAATAAGGATTTTTAGTGCAATATATAGAAAACCTTGTTAGCATCGAACAATGAAAATGAAGACGAAATTGTAGAATTTAATACCGAAAAGTGTTAACCAAAAAGTAGATTTAAAATGATAATTTTTATATTTTAGTGAAATTATGAAAACGTTAAGTTTTATTATTGTTTATTTAAAAAAGTAAATAGAATATAAGAAAATCGTTTCATTTTCATAATTTCATATGACGAATAATTTCGAGGTATAACTGTAATTATAATTTCAATTTACTTTTTTTTAAATTGGATCAGAAATAAATAGTTAAAAAATTAATGTAATTAATTTTGTTGATGTTTGTTATAGGTTGTTGGCTGGTAGGGCAAACAAGAGGAAGAACATGGCTGTGAATTCGGTGGCGACGGAGCAGAAGGCGTCGAAAGTCCTGGGGCTAGTGTTCTTCACGTTTGTGTTGTGCTGGTCTCCATTTTTCATTCTGAACATCCTCTTCGCGGCCTGCCCTAGCTGCGACGTCCCTGAGCATGTAGTCGTCGTGTGTCTTTGGCTCGGATACGTAAGCTCGACGATAAATCCCATCATTTACACCGTGTTCAACCGCACTTTCCGTGCGGCTTTCATCCGCCTTCTACTCTGCAAATGCCAAAGGTACCCATCACCAGACCCTTACAAATTCACATAAACATACAAACTCAATTTCGTCTAGACTCCAGAGTATAATATACACACTACCGTCAGAAAATATTTGGACAAAACATTAACTGCAAACTATATGTACTCTCTATTACTTAACATTCCTTAATAGAGTAAACCAGAACACATGTTTTCTTTGTTATAATATGTATAAACATGATACAATGTACAATAATTATTTAGAAAGATTTAAGTTTCATAAGCTTTGTTACAACGAAATTCATAGAGCATAATGTTTATATTTATTGATTTTATTATAACATTTCTTGTTTTCTTTATTTCAAATAAATATATTTGTTGTAATTCTTCGATAATTTCTATTTATTTCCGTGAATGATAATCATCAAAATATCATTTTAAAATAATCATATAATGTAGAACACGTAAAAACTTAATTGAAATATTCTGGTGGATGCACATAATCAATAGAACACTCAATTATATAAAGTGCTAGAAAAGCAAGAAAACCAGAAAATATTATATGAAACATTTATACTATGTTGATTACTTTTAACAATATAACAAAAACGGGGAAATACGTATATTTAAAATTTATGAGTTATTAACATATGATTTTGGTACGGTAAATAGTAATGTGCTGTAATTTGTGAGATCTAGCTTATTTAATAAAAGCAAGCCATTTTAATTAAAATGGAACAAAGTTCTTAATAATTAAACAGCAAATTTGTTCATTTAAATATTGTCAATATTTTATGAAATATGGAAAATTTTTCCCATAAAAATAACTCATCAATAAAAAACAAATATTTTCTGACTTCTAAATAATTTATAGCTGACATTTTAATCATCATACCAACGGCAAAATTATTTTGTTCTGTGTAATATGAATATAAAAATGAACATAAATACTGACATGATAACATTTTTTATATAACAGATATTCCCGAGAATCTCATTTATAGATAACATCTCCACACGTGTCTTTATTATATCTAAATGTATTTTTAATTACATACAGTTTCACTTTATCATTTGACCTACAAATATTAATACAATGCATGACATTTATGCATAAAACTACAATAATTTATTTTTTAAATAAATTGTTAAATATCGGACTAATTTAATACATCAAGTATTGAAAATCTTTTCATTTAAGTTTTTCATTCTCGTGCCGCCTTTCCCAATAAATTAATATAACCTAAACTATCGTCTAACTGAAAATAAAACCTACCTTAATCTAGTCTAACAATAATTTATATTGTAAGCACAAGATAGAAACATTAAAAAAATTAAAGTTTAACTTCATCAATGTAACATAACCAAACATTTTCCAATCTAACCTAAATTCAATATACCTCAAACTGTACCAATTTAACACATAAGAAACCCTAACCTAATTATTTCGCATGGAATATGCCAGCGGTTTCCAACCTTTATGCTACTACGATTTTTTTTGCGCCTGCCTTACCTTTTGTTGTTTTAATAGATTAAATAATATAGACACGTTTTATTTATTTTAAGATATTATGGTATAAAAATTAATTTATTAAAAAATTTTGGCGCCTCCCCTGGCATTAGTCCGCGCCTACCCGGTTGGAAATCGCTGGAATATGCCATCTATCAAAACTATACCGAGTAAAAATAATCTACTTTTTTTTGTTCAGAATACTTTAAAGAAAAATACATTTTGCCTAGAAATACGAATATTATTAAAAATAAAATTAATCAATAGAGTTCTATAATTGTCAATAAACTAATCAGTTTTTAATATGAAAAACTGTTAATTCAACATCAAAATTTTAGTTTTAATCTGAAACACTATTAATTTATTATATTAATAAATATTTGGACGAAAATTTCAAATAATTAAAAATAAATATTTTTTTCGATATTTTAATTTTATATTAGGCTTAAATTGTATTATTGTTCTGTATCTGATAATATTATGAAATATAATATAAAATATTAATAGACAGTACGAAAAAATATTTTCAATTGAACTTCGATTAACGACGTGTGTATAATAATTGCATCAATTATTATACATGCCAAGTAGTGTTCGTGACTAGCATTGTTCGACTGTTTTAAGCTTAATATCATTTGCGTTTAAAGAATAAATGTCGTTGTTCAAATAAGTACTGATGGTAGTGTACGTACAAAAGAATAGCATCTGCGTATCGATTAGGTGTTAAGACTAAAGTAATTTTGTTGGCACAGGAAGCAGCGCGTTCAGTCTGTCAATCCGGGCGAGAAAGATGTCGTTTAAAAAAAAAGTCTCGGAGAACAGACACACACACACACAGCCACACACAGATCGATCGTCTGCGCGTCTTTATGAGCCGTCTTAATTTTCAGATTGTCCAAGCCTGTGCGTTACAGGTCTGTGAATGAGAACAGGGGTGCAGCGAGCCTATGCACCCCATCGGCCCTTCCGCTAGCGATAAGTCTTCAGGGAACACCTCTACTGACGCCCGCTTCCAATGAATCTTCTTCGTACATGGTGGTAACACGTACTCCATCCGCAAATTTCCGAGACCACACCGATTCCTCCTACGATGACCACGACTGTTGAATGTACTTACCACGAGGACTATAACAGGATGCAATACACTTACAAAAATATACACACACAAAAAACGGAATCAATCCGAAGAAGGAGAAGCTATACGAATTTATCCACAGACCCTGACCATTCCCGAAATATTTCCGACAATCTTTAATTTAGATATAAATAGAAAAAAAAATAGTAAGAGAAATTATTATAATAATCATCATAGTAGTCGAACTAATTATGAATCTAGCATCTGTTAGTGAAGATACAAAATAATATTTATGTCATGTTAAATGTTTCAAATAAACCAGGTATAAGATAATACGTATACATATAATTCTAGCGAATTCAGAGGCGAAAATTGTATTCAATTAAAATGGAGCAATAATTATTATTTTTCAGACGTCGAAACTGTTCAAGCTTATTTCTTTTTGTAAATCAATGTATTTAAATCTATGATGTAAATACTATATATATATATAAAAGAAAGTAATATATGGTGTAAAAAAAAACCAAATCCGTAAAATTACTTTTCCTTAAAAATACAAATCAATATAAAATTATGTAAATATAGAAGGTAAGTACAAATTTATATTATTAAGTAATCAGAAATAATAATAAGAAATGTTGATGTATTGCAATAGCTTTAGATTTGAAAATTTTGTGTATTCGGATAGTTATCTTTAAGAGGTGATGCCTTCAATATTCTGCATAATTATATGGTAACCTCCTATATGACTTCTGCAACCTCTAATAACGAAGATTCGTTAGAACGAAATCCGAAATTTCAAACCCCATTAAAAATATTTTAATTTAAGGTCAACTCCCAACAATTTACAACAAAATATTGCCATAAATTCTACTAAAAGGAGTAATTCACATCTCAATCAAAAGGTTTAGAAAATGTCAATGAAGATTATGGATTATCAGTGAAAGAATTAGAAAACTTTAGTAGCAACCCAAATTCAATCCAAAAAAAAATGTTATTGAGTAAATATTTAATATATAACATTCAGGAATAAATCTTATTGTTCAATGATCAGTAAATATGCAGTAACTCCGTAGAATCAATTGTTAAATAAAAGAAAAAAAGCATAATTTTTTTTTGAAAAAACTATTCTTTGTTCAACAAAATGCTATTCATTTTCTTTACGAAGGAACGTATATATTATAATATAGTATTTTTTATTTAAAAAATTAGTTAATCATAGTATAACTGTAAATGCATCCATAATCTATAGTTGAGATTATTTAAAATCTGTTTAAAAAAATCATTATACTCATATAAAAGTAAAATAGGTTATTTTTATATTATATATGGTATATGTATGGTATATTATAAGTATTGTTTATATAAAAATAATGATAGTTATATAGTCTGCTATGCAGCATTGCAGATCGACCTTGAACCATAACATTAATGCCACATAAACTCCAGCAATACCACAACCACATTCAACTTTAGTTGTCGCTCAGCTTTACACACACAATATGTGTTTTGCAACTTCACTATTTTAGCAGAAATCTCGAAGCTCGAAAAAGACAATTAATATAATAAAAGTCGACATTCTTTCTGTACAAATTAAATTAACGATCAATGTAGCTTCAGTAGTTTTATTGAATACAACTTATTAAATGTACAGAATTTACTTAAAAACCGTATAAGATTATAAAACGTTTGGTTGTTATATTCAATATTAATTACAGCCATCTTTCTGGCAATTTCATGATTCCTCGCCCATAGAACTTCTGGTACTTAACAGTAAAAAAACTGACCGTTGGTCATGTTTTAATTAAAAATCTCTAAAACGGATATTTTGAAACTAATTCTGACATGTAAGTTTAATCAACACCATAAACTTCACATCTTCCTTTTGTGAGTATCAACAGCTTTCTTGCCTTTGCGGAAATAAAAAAGTAAAATATTTTGAAAATGTTCGTGTTTGTACTTGACCTTAAACTAACAGTTGCAAACAAAGCTACGTGCAACTTACTTGTAAAGGAAGATCGAAGTGACATCTATTAAATATCAAAATCAAATAATCATAACAATTATCTTTCAAAATAAACTTAAAAATATCTATTTGATAAATAATCTGAAATAATTCTACTTAAAATATCAGCAAATTAATATAGTTTAGGTTCATTAATCAATCATGAAATTATTTCTTGTTTCTTTTGTTGTTTTTGAATCGTAACATATCAATATGAAAAACTGGGCATTATTTAAAGTACTTATCAAATAACTAATATTAAAATTTTAATTTACTCATATTTATATAGTTTTATTTTAATATGAAATTACTGAAAATGACTTCAACTTTACTTTTCGAATTTGATTAAAAACTACCGTTAAGTAAATTACTCTAAAATTTAATAATAATAAATAATACATTTACAAAAATCAATTCTTTACAGGTCATTGTAATGTTAAAAATATACTCACTTTTTAACATCGAAAAGTGGGCTTCCAAATGTTATCTATAGGTCCCATTTATTTTGTTACCCACCAACTGGCAAGGATATAAAGTCGCATTTGCGGCCCCCCACAAGTCTAATATTAGCAGACAATATTTTTTTATTTCCACAGTAAAATGTTCTCCTTGTTCGTTGGATACATTTAGATTAAAAAAATAAATAAGAATATACAGTTGACAACGAGTCTTATCATATTATTAAAATATAATAATAAAAACGTACTTACGATAAATTTATAACTAATATAGAGTGCGGCAAAAAGACGGGCAAAAGATCTCAATAAGCAATATTTATAATCGCCCTTTAATTAATTTGATGCAGTTGTAAAGTAATTGATTAGTTCGGTTTCAAACAGTGCGGTATATTGACGAAACCTAGAATAGTGCGGGTCTATACAACGTATGGATGTAGTCTTATTCAATTAAACAGAATGATTGTCAAATTTAATATATGACAGCCAAAAACACTCCGCGTGGCAATATGTTAAAAATATATAAATGTATGTTAAAAATTACAAATACAAATAAGAAAATAATTTATAAATTATTATATAATAAACTAAAAGTAGGGAACATATTTTATCTGGAATATTAGTAAACAATATTTTTTGAGTTTAAAATAGGAATAAATATGTACGTAATAAATAATAAAAATTAGGAATCAATGGAGATTTTACTGTCGGTTTTTCTTGAATACTTTATGTGACCGTAAATATATTTACTATATTGAATAAAAAGCAAATAAAGCGAAGGCGTTTATATGAACTTTAATATTATATTTATTACGCATTTAAAAGTTTAATATGCTTTTAGTCTTTGATATTTTTATGCGCATTTTATGAATGTAAAAAATGGAAACAGAAGAAATTACAAAAAAAAACGATTATTTAATGGTTTTTTCTCGCGCATGCTTTAGATTTACAGACAGATGAGTTTTTTTGATTTAATTATCAGCAATATATTAGATTTTTTTTTCGGTATATGACTGATTTGAAAACATTCTCGTTTGGGATTTATTAACGAATACACGTGGTTGAATTAAGTGGACACGTGTGTTGAAACCGATCGAAACCTTATGGCACACGCAGAATATCAATTTTGCATCTAGACGAAAGTCATTTTATGGTATCTAAATATAATATATTCACCGACGTAAGCAATTATGTAAATATAGTGCAGAAATATTTGAAATAATAAGTTAAAAATAGTTGACGTAATTTGGAATGTTCTTAATCAGTTAAGGTTTATTATGTAAAATTGTTTGAATAACTAATATTTATATATATTTATTTATCTTAAGCCATCCATCTAAGCCTTTTTGCTATTAGTTACAATTTAAATGTACAAAAGTTTGCAAAAAAAAACACGAAAAAAAACTATTAATGAAATCAATGCATTCTATAAAAAAAGGAAATTAAATCTTCAAACTAAACATAATCACAGAAAAAATGGTGAATTCAAACTAAATCTGTTCAAATAACCGATACAAATAATTAATTTTAACTTATTGTGCTCGTGAGTATATAGCATTTTTTTTTTAAATAACTACTTTAGGTCATTTTGACACAAATTGGCAAACCATTTCATCAAAAAAATGATAATTCTGAACAAGCATTCAAGTTTTAACGCGAGCTTCACAATTGCATTTCTGGATATCGGGAATTGTCCAAAAAAAATAGCAAAGCCATCGCAAAGTTTAATCACTGATTATATTGTCAAAGGGAAAAAATCAACATGCGAAGTTGAGACTAATTTTACTTGTGAAGAATCATTATCTTCAGGACATAGATCTGATATGCTGACTATCTCATCTAGTGATGAAAGTTATTTCGAACCAGTTCTCAAATTATGCCTAACACTCTCATATAGCGACAATAATTCTAAAGAAAAAAATGTGAAGATTAACTTTCTTAAAAAAATTCTGAATTTTTCCGTATAAATTTAGAACGATTATGTTAAGATTATATTTTTCTTTAAAAAAAAATATGGAACGTATCCTTTATTTTTATACGTGTGTCTAGTCCTTTTTTGTGCGATTTTTATGCGTTTTCCTGTGGAACGTATCTACCGCATACGTACCAATTGTACGTTCGGTTTTTTGGTGTAAACACAAAAACTTTTTTTGTATACAAAGAATAAACTTTAATCAATTATATATTTTCCATTTTGTTCGATGACCTTTTGTTATCTTTCTGACAACTTCGCTCTCATAAAGCTGCTGGTCATTAACAGCAAAATCTGGACCAAGTGCGATTTCAGGTCATCATAATTAGTTAAAATTTTACCATTCAAAGAGTATTGAAAACTTTGAAACAAATGGTCTATATGCGAAATGTGACATTATTTCCCAACCAAGCTCCAGAAATTTTCCTCGAGTTACCAAAGATGTGTGAGGATTTGGATTGTTTTGTTAAATTTTTCTTTGACAGTAAACATCTGAATTGATTGTTTGATTCCTTGCAGCTCAAAATACACAATGCCAACAAATTGATAGCATAATCATAAACAATTCAGCTTTCGATGTGAATTGTGCTGGTTCATCATGCTTCGATCATAATCGTTTTCGATTGATGTTATTGTAGATGATCAATTTTTCATTCACTTGTAATGAAAAATGAATTTGTTTAAAAAAAAGTGACAATTTCATTGCATTTTAAATAGGTATTGCAAATATTGATTCGTTAAGTGAATCACACTCTTGCATAGTTATATGACGATCCAATTCAATTATAACTTTGATTTGGTCAGCATAAACTTTAGTAGGTCGACCAGAATGTTAGTTATTTTTTTAAACCAATTGTAACACATGTATTCTGATAAACAATCAATATCATAAACTTTTTCTTTGTGGTCCTTATCAGTTTTCTTGGTTTTACGAAAATAAAAAAGTAAAATATGTTGAAAATGTTCGT